CCAGAGTCTAATACTTATTATTCAACCTAATTATGAATCCTGGTGCCGCCATAAGGGCAACCGCAGCATCTGAAGTCCTGTCTGGGACAGCCACAGTTGTGTCCACCCCATCTTGAACACACTGCTGTGTTCTATTATAAGATTCATTTAAAAATACACAAGATAAGTAAACAAGAGACAGGCCGTCTCTAACCCTACCATTACCACTTGGTAAATAATCTATGCTACATATATAAAGACACATTGTCCACCAAATTGGGACCAATTTATGTATTCACCAGTTCTTCCACGACTTCATTATTCATTCAACAAATGCTAATGAGGACCCTCCTCCAAGACCAAGCAAGGAGCTAGCAGACGGCCTCTGCCCTGCAAGGCTGAAGCTCTACTGGGAGAAGCAGGGAGGTGAGCAAACAGGTCAAATTGTGAAAAGTGTTGGGCAAAGGAAAAGTGAGAAGCTTCGTGGGTGTGGCAGCTCAGGCCGCTAAATCCTATCACTCAGGAGGCTGAGACAGGAAGACCACCACAAGTTCAAAGCCAGCCTGAGCTGCACAGTGAGTTCAAGACCCGTGTGAACTACATAGTAATACCTTGTCTTGAAAAAAGGAAGGAAGGAAGGAAGGAAGGAAGGAAGGAAGGAAGGAAGGAAGGAAGGAAGGAAGGAAGGGAGCATTATTTTAGAAGAGGTGACCATTAACAGGAACCTGTTCAGCATCGCTTCACGTGGCCGTGCTGGCCAGGGAAGGGGTTCCGCGTGGACGAGCTATGAGTACGAAGGCCCTTTCTACCTCAGGCAGAAGTACGCCTGGCTTGGCTGTGCAGAGCCCTACCCTGCTATTTCCAGTCATCAATTTAGCAGAAATATTTCCTCTTATACACATTCATTTAAGACGTATTTACTGGAACCTGCTGTCTGTCACTACTAACAGAACTGACCCTGAGATGCTGACAATTGAGCTCTGACAGAGACAATTTAAAAGTGAGTATATCAGGGAGTAAAGGGAAAACTTAGATTAGCCCACTTATGCCAAAGATTGCAACTTTTTCAATTTTTGCATGGAATTCATATATGTCACCTAGAAAAACTCAAGGAACAAGAATTTGAAGAGAAAAAGATTTATTACATTCTATCATAATGGACATTCTGAAATTGGAACACTAGGCATGTACGGTTAAAATCAAAGACAAAAAGGAATTTATTTAGGGGATGCTTGTTGTATCTGGTTGCCATGACGCCACCTAGATGCCGACACACGGGCAGAGACTTTAAGGAAGAAACGCAACAGCCAAGTCGAACCCTGCAGGTGGGGTTGTGCCAGGTGGCCCCCAGCCGTGCGGTCCTCCGTGCGCTTGAACAGCAGGTGAGAGGCCCATGTAGCCAGAGGGAGGGTACCCAGCAGAGCAGAGCCCAGGTGGCAGCCAGAGCAGAGCGAGGCACGAGTAAGCAGCGTTCTGCGGCATCACCTGTCAAGGATGTACACGTTGTCGGACATATATCTGGCTTACAACTTTTAAATGAACTTCAAGTGCTGCACTTTACGACGATGTTCAAATCCCCATCTTTGGGGTCAGCGATATAGCTCAGTGGCATATGCACCTGCCTGGCAAGTGTGAGGTCCCAAGTTCAATCCTGGGTACCACAAAAAACCCTCCATCCTCGCACCTCTGCAGATTAAAATTGCCTGAGGGAGATGACGAGGCCGGAAGCTGCTGCTCTGCTGCATCTGGCATTTCTGTTATGGTGATGATGTTGCCTCTGTCGGTGACTGTCCAAGTCCCCATTCACTCGCTGGCTAGCTGTGAGGACAGTGAGACTCACTTCACTCATTGTGTCATTTTGAGCCTCGCCACCATCCTGAGAGGAAGACACGGTTGCTAGCCCCACTTATCCAGGCATCTAGCAGAGCCCCTACATACACACGGCCAATCAGCACAGATCGCGGGTTCAACCTGGGTCTGCCTGATGCCAGAGTCAAGATCTGAATTCACCGGAGAGCCGCTTTGCACAGACCCCTCTTTACAAGATGGTGCTCAAGACGGAAGGCTGGGCCAGCTTCTGCACTTGGACAGGAAAGCTTGGATCCACTTCCCCAGTGCCCTTGTAGTCCAATGACACAGATCCTTGACCTCCACCACCACGTTCATTCCTGTTTTTCTTATATAAATCAAGTAGGACTTCACACGCAGCCCTGGAGAGAACACCTTCAGCAGAGCTGGGGCCGGGAGCAGCGTCTGCTCCTCCACCGGCTACTGTGTGACTTTGGCCACCTCGCTTAACCTCCTGCTGTTTCTGTCTCCTCAGCAGCACAGCGAGGGCAGGACCTACGCCCTGCGCTGCCGCCAGGACTAAAGGAGCTCATACATGGGAACGAGGAACTATCCTTAGTGTGCAGTGAGTGCTCAACAAATATTAGGTGCTACTAGTATTCGGAAAAGAGGGCCAGCCAAATAGCTCAGTGGATTAAAGTGCCTGCAAGCAGGCTCAGGGGCCGGGGGTTCAATCCCCAGGCCTGCCGCACTGGCCCTGACCCCAGGGCATGCTGAGACAGCAATTGAGACTGGCATGGCAGTGCGTGCCTGTAATCCCAGCTCTCGGGAGGCTGTAAACAGGCGGATTACGACGAGTCCAATCTAGTAGTGAGACCCTGAACATCCTGTAGGCCCTTCCCTAAAGACACACACACACACACACACACACACACACACACGAATTATTTGAAAAAGAAATCTAAAGGGCTTAGCATGATTGTTCCCCTGCTTCCAACTGCAAGGTCTTTACCACACTCTTCTTATCTCACCAGCCTACAGGCCTCCTATAAGGTGGCTACAGAAGACAAAGTCTGCTTCTGGTGATGTGACCACCACTCCCCACCCCCAGTTGGGCAAAGCAGAGAGTCCCTTTTCATGTTTTTATGTCCCCTGAGGCTTTGCTCAAGACATTGCACGTTACCCAAAACTTGCCATTTGATCTGGGTGTGGCTTGTAATCCCAGCTCATGAGGCTGAGGATGCCTGCAAGTTGAGTCCCGCCTAGACCTGAGAGAGACCATGTCTCTAAAGGAATAAAAGGGGCTCGTCATGTAGCTCAGTTGGGGTCATTCCACAGTGTCACCAGAAAACCCCTTGTTTAAAAAACTTAAATTGCTGGGAATTGCAGCACCAGGCAATACATAACAGAGAGTTGTGATCTGACACATTCTATGTTTTATTTATTTGTCATCATTACTCCAGTCTTTAATTCAATCCCAATCATTGGAGCTTTTATCTTAAATGTTCTTACTAATATTAAAAACAGCAGCAGACATAGCGTTTATTTGCTTGTTTCCTCTGATTCAACCCACACAAATCTTAAGACGACTCACAAAGGTGTATGAAACTCCAGAAGAAACTAATTTAAAATGAGAATAAAGAAGAGGGAAAGACAGATGGGAGCAGAAATGAGGAACAAGATTAGAGCACTCACGCCTCGAGCCCGTGAGCAGACCACGGGCCCCTCGCTTGCCAAGGCTTCCAGAGCCAACAGTGAGCTACGTGCGCCGCAGCGTGGAGGCGGAGCTGGCTGCCAGGCGCGCCGGGCCGTGCTCAGCTCGAAGCCCTTGGAGCACGCGCCACAAGGGCCACACCTCGCACCGCCAGAGGCAGACAGGACTGTGAGGGGAGGCCCCCGTGCAGAGCGTGGTCCTGGACGACACTCACTCAGCAGCCCGCTGGGGGCGGACAACCAACACGTCAGATGCGCCACGTCCTGGGAGGAAAGGGATGCAAGCCAAGTGTCCTACGTGGTGATTTATTATTGACGGTGAAAGATCAGCCTATTTCTGTTAATACGTGACATTTGTCATATCCACTGCCCAGTGTATTTTTTATTATTTTGGGTAAGCGGCACATGCCGCATTTACAGTAGTCAAATATAAACAGAGCAAACCGGCAAAGTTGTGCTGCTCTGTCAGCAGGCGGCCGCTTTAGCTCACAGACAACGCCAGCCTCCCCGAGTCATGGGAAAGCGCGTGAGAAGCTGCCCCTTCGGATGTTCGGAGCTGCTGCGCCGAAGCAGTCATTCCCTTACAGCAGAGAGATCTTACTTGATAAAAATAAAAGGCCGGCCGGGGAGATGGCTCAGTGGAATAAGCGCTTCCCTGGCAAGCGCAAGGGCCTGAGTTCAATCCCCAGTTCTGCCCCCCCCCCAAAAAAAAGAAAAAAAAATACAGTTCTTCGCACTGGGCAAGGACCAGCAGGCTTTAGGCGCCAGGCAGGCTGCAGTGGTGCTGTGGCTTTGACACCTTCCATGTGTTGTCTTATTCCTCTTGGGGCCTAAGTTTTACTCATGTGAAACTGGGAGCTTTAATGTACTAAACCATCTTGTAAATTTCTGCCTCCAGATGTAGGCTAATCAAAATCTTACAAATACTGTCTCCCATGACCATGGTAGGGATAACTTTATATAAAATGTTTTAGCCATGGTCGACACAAGCAGTGTAGCTACTGCTGTCGTCACTGGACAACGCTTAAGTCCATTAAGCTGACAACCAGGCGCAGAGATGAACGCTGCCAGCTAGAAGTCTTCGTCGACTGGCGCGCTCGCTCAAGCTCTGACGTCACAGCTTGGAGGCTCAGAGCTCAGACTAGGCAGCAGTCAGGGAGGCTTTCTAATTAGCTGTGGCGCCGCAGATCCCCTGCATGTCACTCTGCATCTCACATTACACCTACACAAGGATGACAGCAGTGACTTTACAGGAGATTTGTAGAAAATGCTAGGTGAGGATTATGAAGTCTTGGCATTATCCTTAGGTTATATTAAACATTTGATAACTACCATTATTACTATTATTTATCTCATGTAGTTCTGTATCACAAAACTACTTGCATTCAGCATTCTTTAGTCCTAACGCAACAGCATCATGGAATTTTCCAAGGCACAAGCCAAGTATTTACATTTACTGATTGAGTTGATTCCCCAGCTCACCTCTGTCTTCTTTTCCTGTTTGTCCATATTCTCTGTAGGACTTCATTGTGACTGTAGTTTTCTCATTCCTGTGGCTGGTGGGCTCATCTGCTTGGGCCAAAGGGCTGTCTGATGTCAAAGTTGCGACAGACCCACAAGAAGTCCTGTTACTGATGTCGGCCTGCAAGCAGCCGCCCAACAAGTGCGCCGCAGTCCACAGCCCCGTCATGTCCAGCTTAAACACCTCTGTGGTAAGTGCGTGACCTCCCCAGCCCTCTTTGCCAGTCAATAAATAAGGAAACAGCTCCAAAGCCACCTTGTCCATTCCTGCCTCCAGAACTAGGCCAATCAAAATGGTAATATTTCATTTCAGGTACAAGGTGATCATTTGGCCTTCGAGGCTTTTATTGTCAGAGTCCATATACTTTAATGCCTCCAATTATGGCATTATTAATAAAAACTCAGTGTTAGCATCTGCTACTTAGACAACTGTTGAGTTATAATTGTAATCCAGAAGCACATATCAAGTCTGAATGCTAAATTGAAGCCTGCTACAAGTTTAAAGGAGTATTTGATGTTGTACAAGTTTCTGGGAAGAAAATATTATTTAAGCCAACATAGTTAGAATACACCCATATGGTGGAAGAAAAAGATACAAGCTCAGTAGAGTGCAAAAGGAGACACACGGCATGACTGAGAGCAGCCATGATAATTTTTTATCTTCTTCCTCTTCCTGCAACACTTACTTCAAAGGTGCCCTAGTTGCTTCCTTATTACTGGAAAAAAAATATCTGACACCCACAAGTTAAAGGAGGAAGAGTTTATTTTAGCTCACAGCTTATAAAGGTTTCAATGCATAGCTGACTGGCTCCAAGACAAGGTGGCACGGCAGAGGGGCATGACAGAGGGAAAACAGCCCACAAGGGGGCAGTGAGCTTCCCTTTCCCTTTTGTCCCACTCAGGCTTTAAGCTGATTGACTGGAACCAACCTCATTCATGATGGGCCTTCCCATTGGCCACACCCAGCTCTATGCTACACCCCCGGAACTGTGCTGGACCAATCAGTGGGCTAACTTAGCTACTACACACCTTTAACCAAGCAACCTCCGAGAATTTGGATGCAAGCCCTAACAATGGCTTTAGAAAAGATGCACTATATTAGTTGAACAAAGTCAAATATTGTCATCACATGTGTGGTTCTTACAGGAAGAGAGGAAATCTAAAAGTTAACAAAGATGCTGAATTGAAGTCTTTATTTAGGTATAAGAAGTTGTGTTATTCCATCTGTCCTTGGAATAACACGAGCTGTAACGGCTACAAAACACAGCATTTATCGAAGAACAGGAAGTTCGGTAGTGTTTGTAAGAACAACCTTCTTTAGCAAGCCCTACAAATAATTATCTTTGCTTCAAGGTTAGCCTGCCTTTCTACCACTTTCTGAAATGCTGCCCCTCAGCTCCTGAGGATGCGACTGTGACTCAGTGTGTTCAGGTCTCACATCACGTCTACTTACCATTGGCCCTAATGTAGCTGGCTGCGCCGAGGTGTGCGCTGGCACACAGAGCACTGCTCCCGTACTTGTTCACTGACAGTAATCATGGAAGTGACCGTCAATTAGATCTCAAAGCCTAAGTAAAGATAAAATTGCTAAAGCATTTGCAGTTCAATAATCAATCTCCCAATACACCATGACATCTTCTTTGATTTCCACTTCTGTTATGTTTAATACTTTTAGACCACAGGGTAGGAATTAAGAATACAAAACAATGTGATATATGATATGTCTTCTAAAACCAGAAAGAGGGATGGATTGAAACCAAATGATGGGATGTGTGTTGATGGCAGGGCCTAGTGGTGTCATAGTGACTATTGTCCTATTCCTCGAAAGAAAGGTCCATTCAGGCTAAGCCAGAAGAACCCTCACTGTGAGTCTGTTTCCGAGACACCACTTCTGGTACCAATGTCTGTATGCATTCAACTACTTTGGTTGCAAAGAAAGCAACTGTTTCTAATCTCATCAGGAAAAATGTAGCCTTTGGAAAGGTGCCAAGAAGCTCATAAACTTATGAGATCTGGAGAAACGAGAGCAAAACCAAGGTTCTAGAGGGCAGATACCAGAGAGCAGGCTCCTCGGGCTGCTGTTAGGGAATGTTCTCCCTGACCTCACACACCTCTGCTCAAGTTGCAAAGCCCTAGGAAAAGCTCAAGCCACTGACAGAAACAGCTTCTCAAAGTTCTGCAAAGGAGACCTGAAGTTGAATCCTTCAGCCTCATTTCCTGTGGTCCCCACATCTGAGTGCATCCAAATTCATCCCCAGACTTCAGCTGCAGCAAGATAGAAAGAAGAGACTCAAGCAGCCATGTGCCCTTAACCACGTGCTAGCAGGGCCTTCTGGGCTACGTCTGTGATGACAATGTCTTGGGAAACCAGTGTTCCTTAGATGTGTCCCCGCCAACGTCTTGTTGATGTTCCTACTTTAAAGCTGCATTTCCTCAATTGCTGGGCTCTTCTTGAGCATCCAATTTTAAAAAATCTAATTAGCAGTAGAAAAAGTGGAGAGGCCAAGAGATAGGGAACAGAACGCCATAGCCTTGGACAGAGTCCTCGCTTCCTATCTGGAAAGATCCCTGGATATTTTCTCCTTTTATATTGACATACATTTATGAAAAGACCTTTTAATCAAGACCTTCCCTTTTAGTGGAAAGCATCCTATTTACCAAATACACAGTTAAAATAGTCTATAGGCAAATTAGAGATTTGTCAGAAGTTAACTAATTCATTTTGATCCAGTAATTATTAAACCTTATTTCTGTTTTGTATCTCCCTTAGTAGGTAGTACAGGGCACAACACAAAATAGCCTCTCGATTAATGTGGGTTTTTTTGGGGGGGAGTTGTATTTTAGGGAAGAGTCTACAGGGTGTTCAGGGCCTCACTACTAGATTGGACTCGTAGTGATCCACCTACGGGAGTTTACAGCCTCCCAAGAGCTGGGATTACAGGCACGTGCCACCACGCCCAGTCTCAATTGCTGTCTCAGCGTGCCCCGGGGGCGGGGCCAGCAGGCAGGCCTGGGGATCAACCCCCCCCCAGCCTGCTTGCAGGCGCTCAATTAATGTTAAAGGAAGAAAAAGAATTGAAATAGGAAAGGAAGTGAAATAAGAGAGGGAGGTGAAGTAAGGGGGTAAAGTAAGGAAAGATATCCGTAAGCCAGTCTTGAATCAGCCCAGCAGAGGGGCTAATGACTGCTCCGTCTGGCTATTGCCACCTCGAGGAATAAAGCCCACTTTAATTTGTGTAGCACCAAAATCACCAGAGGAACACAATTCATGACAGTATTTTATAAGGTGATTTAAAGCACAGCGTACCACTTGGCATTTACTGCTGTGCCCAACACTGTCTACTTTGTGTGTATCCTCTTTAATCCTCCAAACTAGCCCCAAGAGAAGAATTACTGTCTTCATTCCACATAAGAAAGAAAAATCTAAAGTCTACTCTGCTCCGTGGCATCCTGAAGTGGTGACCACACTGCTTCATGTATCATAGCCTTGAATCACACCCCGTTACCTCCCTCCTTGGTGTGGAGTGCTTTCAACACCTAAGGCTGGCTCCCGTCAGCCAGCAGGGCCTGGGGAGAGCTGCAAAGCCAGCCACACAATTCACAGTCCGATCTGGGCCTCCTGGAATAACAGACTGTGCAGCGCGTGCTGCGTGCTCAGGCCCTGGGGAAGCAACGCCAAGTCCCCTTATAAGTTAATGTGTAATTATTAAATTAAAATACTTGTCCTTATGCCACTTTCCATGAGGCATTTTAGGAGATAAGGGGGCCTAGGTGAGGAAGGACACAGGCTGCTAACTCAGGCAGCACCAGGCCAGAATCCTGCCATCCTTACTCAGAGCGCCGTGGGAACTGGGGCCGGACCCGGACCCACGCTGAGCCTCCGTTTCCACCTCTCTAACGTAATAATGATGTAAGATGTCACTGTCCTGCACTTGGAGCAGCACATGCAAAGCTCTTTGTACTTCACCTGACATGTGGCAAATATCTGACCAAGACCAGAGATTCTGAGGAAAATAGTGGCACTGAATGGGCCTCAACACGGAGTGAAAGACGAGCTGTTTTACTGTGAAAGATGCTTCTGGGACCACGTTTCCGCCAGGGTCTCTCTAACAACTCCTTTGCTGTTATTCTCCTCCAGGTCTTTGGATTCTTGAACTTCATACTCTGGGCTGGAAACATCTGGTTTGTGTTCAAGGAGACCGGCTGGCATTCCTCAGGACAGAGATACCTTTCCGACCCGATGGAGAAGCACGCGAGCAGCTACAGCCAGGGGGGGTACACCCAGGACAGCTACGGGTCAGGCAGTGGGTACAGCCAGCAGGCCAGCGTGGGGCCATCCTCCGAGGAGTTTGGCCAGCAGTCCAGTGGCCACACTTCCTTCACCAATCAGATTTAACAGGGTAGCATTTGCATCCTTCCTGAGCTAGCCCCACCGTCCATCTCCATGGCAGAAAAGCATGTAAGAGTGTGAATCAATTATTAATTCAGAGAGTGCTGAATGTGAATCAGATCTGTAGACCTCACTAGCAGGCAGGCCTGGGTCGTGATGAAGGCACTTAGAGGTGAGAGGTGCTGAGGGAATACATATTCATCCCAGAGGGTCAACTGGAGAGTCCCTTGTTATAAACATACTCTTTTATGGTCATTTGGGGTGTGTGTGTGTGTGTGTGTGTGTGTGTGTGTGTGTGTGTGTGTGTTGAAACAGTAGAAGCACTTTGTAGCTTAAAGTCTCTAGTGTGTTCCGTGAATAAGGTAAATTAAATAGCGTTGAGTCTTCCTGTGCATTCTGATGCCGATGTCTCGGTGATTCCTAGAAGACGACGTGGCGTATCACAGCATGCCCGTGTTCTGGTTTCTTAGTTCTAAGCCCTGTAGCACTGCAAGTCCCTATTTGTTTCAGATGGTTACACTGTGTTTTTGACTTGATGGTCAATGCTCATATAATTTAGTGCATGAATAAGCATTTTTTCGAACAATCAGCATTTGAATTGTATTTATGAACATTTTCCAGTTTGCGCCAAGAATTTGTTAAATGAACACTTAAAGAAATGCGCCTGTTCTCTACTGCACACACTTGGCGGCTTTGTCCCTGTCTCTACCCAAGTCCAGACTGCACTGTAACCAGGCTTCGGGGGCTTTCCTATTAGTAGACGGTCAGTGCTATGGCAAGTGCCCAGTGTCTATTCTCCTTACTTAGCTGACTAGTAACACTCTTGTAACTTTCTGTGGTGTTTTGTGGCTATGTCCTGTGGACCATGGATAATAAGGCTCAATACTTGTCTCTGCTTAGAGCTGAGTCTGCTTAGGCTACTTGGGGTGCAGATGTGGGACGCTGCTGAGCTGAGATGTCAGCCTAGAAGGGGCCTCGGTGGACCTCCACCGCGAGCATGTGACTCCTGTTTACTGGTGGAACTAATATGTTTCTCCAGGCAATTATTAAAAATTCTCAAGAAACAGAGCAATGGAATTACTAATCCTAACTGGGACATCACCCCTAAATTAAAAGTGGCTCCCAGTACTGCAAAGAACGCTCTCATAAAATAGCCCCCAGAATCCATGCATTATCAAGAAAATGCCAGTCTTTGCCTTTTCGTTTTAATCCAACTAAAACACCAGAGTCAGCAGGGAGGGCAAGCCGAGCGCCTGCATTTCCACCCAACAGTCGCTCTCGATGTGCAACCTGCCGTGTGACCTTGAGCTTGGAAGCACTCGAGCACAAAGCCACTTTGTCGTAGACGATGTCTGTAACCAGTTCCTTGACCTGTTGGATAAATCTGTATTGTGGTATTTATTTGAACTAAATAAAGTGATTGCATACGATGCTAGCTGCGCTCTGAAATACTGTAACAAGGAAGCCTGGCTGGCCTCGCCAAGGCGAGAACAAGGTGATCACGGCCTCCCCAACCTCTCCCCTGCCCCGCTTTCTGGGCCAGGGCTAACGCTCTCATGTCAGCACATCAGTGTGGGTCACTTCCTGCAGCGAGAGCCCCAGTGCACCCAACAAGGGGCAAGGCGCTGGGGACATTATACTGCTAAGCAGTCCTCCTTTTTGAGGCAGGGTCCCACTAAGCGCCTGGGATCCCACCCATGTCCTCCTGCCTCAGTGTGCCCCGTAACGGGCCCGCGGCGTGCAGCACCGTGCCCCGCGCATGCCTGGCGCTACACAAGACGCGGCACGCTTCCCTGCAGCCACACTTCGCCCTCAGTCTGCTTTCACCCCCACTTGCACAAGTGAAAGCTGTAAAATACCCGAGCCTGGGGGAGAGCCCCTGAGCTTGGCTTCCACCGGGGCAGGCTTCGAAATAGCCACAGCCCAGTGTGCAGTGCGTGGCAAGGGGCGCCAGGGGGCGCCAGGGGGCGCCAGGGACATCTCAGAGAGGTGCGAGCTACGGAGAAGAGGCTCAGGAGCCCCAGAGCTGGGTGAGACGCCTGCAAGGACTAGTCAGAGGAGCACAGGGAAGAAGAGTCTCCCAAGCAGGGAGCGGCAGGAGCCAGGAGTGACCGGGGCTGGCCTGAGCGTAAGGAGTGAGGACAGTGCGGCTGCTGTCTTTATCCCAGGGAAGCGGGCAAAGCATCAAGGGGTTTTAAACCCAGGAGGACACAAAAGATTGGCAACTTGCGGTAGCGGCAACATAAGAAGGAAAAGAAAGAGACTCTGGGGATAAGGAAACAAGTGCTTAGGCTGGGCACAGGGTGAGGGGACCTGGCATGAGCCCCTATCCCCAGTTTCCGACAGTGGCCCGATCTGACTGCTCCATTCAGCACTGCAGAGAAGAGAGGGGCCTTGGCTTCATGAAGCCTTCTGAGTGTCCCCAAGCAGGAGCATCCACCATCAGCGGCAACTTTGGCCTGAGCAGCTTCACAGCAGGAGGGAGCTCTGAAAAGTGGAGAGGGTCGCTGCCCCATGGAGAGAAAGACACGCTGAAGCGTCTCTGTCCTCTGCAGCTTCCCATCAAAGAGCTGCAGGAGTAGGGGTTCCACAACCCTGGTTTTATTTCTTCAAGTTTTTTTTGATCATGTATTTATGTATTTGGTACAGGGTCTCACTATGCAGCTCAAACTCCTAGTGTTCCTCCTGTCTCAGCCTCCCCAGCGCTGGGATTACAGGCCTGCACCACCACGCCTGGTTTCTGTGGCCAGCATGGCTCACCCAAGGTTCAGAGGCCGGCACAGCATGAGGTACCAGGGATGGAACCCGGGTCCTTGCACTTGCCATGCAGGCACTCAGACCACTGAGCTCTCTCCCCAGCCCTCCTCCAGGTTTTAAGAAGGGTACAGCTTTGGACTTTTTTTAAAAAGGAGGAGAAATTGATGCACTAGGTAGGGCTAGATCTATGCTTGTGGACCTGTCTTGGTTCGCCACTCCCCGGCTATCACTCAAGGTATGAGTTCACTTTCTTGAGCCTCTGTTTCCTCAGGAAAGCATCCCAGTAACTGGTGGGCCCTGGGATCAGACCACCAGGGTTGGTGCCTCTGCACTGCTGTTTGCTGGGTGTACCGTTTGCTTCCTCAATAGATCCCCCAAAACCCTGGGAAGCTTCTGAAACCATACACAGCTGTAGGAAACTGTAAAAAAGTTAAAGCCCCAGGGGCCCTCTTCAACACCAGGGAACTCGGGCAGGTAAACAAATGCTGAGGGAACGATTCTTCTCATCCTTTCTGTGTGCCCATCTCTACCACAGGGATGACAGCAGCCCTGCACAGGGGATTGGCATGAGGATGAGCTCGGGAAGCCACGCAGGGGGAGCCACGCAGGGGAGCCACGCAGGGGAGCCACACAAGGGAACCAGACAGCTCCTGGTGCCCAGCAGGTGCCGTGCAGGTTTGGCTCCCCTGAGAGCACTGCCCGCAAGACCAAGGCGTGCTCGGGAGGAGACTTCCAAAGGTAGGGTGTGAGGAGACGGGAAGCGAGGAGGAACAGAGCCAAGGGTATGCTGGCACTGGTGCTGCTGAGGAGCTCAGTTCCTCGGAATTTGAGTCTTCTGGAAGGACACTAGTGATTCCCTGTGAGGAGTGGGGGCCGGAGCTTCTCTACCAGACGCTGTCCCACTGGTAGAACTGCCTCCGGGGAGGGCGGCTGCCGGGCTGTTCTGGGTCACTTTTCCCTGCAAACTGACGCTGTCCTGGGACCGCACACACCCGCCTCCAGTCCTCAGACCTCTGGGGCAGCAGGCTAAGGGCGGGGGACTGAGGAGCCTGTCACACCTTCCCTCATCCCTGGACAGCCAGCTTAGGAAGGACTGAAGAGGAGACGCCTGCAGGAGGCTGTCCTCGTCAACACAGCAGCAGTGATCTCCCAAGGGTGGCTGGAATTAGAGGCTTGCCGAGGGAGGGCCACGCAGACCCAAGTCCATGCGCTACAGTGATCCGTGAGCCGGGGCATTACTCACACCATCAGGCTAGAAAACGGGCTGCACATAATCCCACCTCATAGGGCGGAGAGGAGAGCAGCCCTGCTCTCTGTGGGAAAGCGGGGTGAGTGAGGCGGCGCTCCGTCCAGCAAGCTGGCTTGGGGAGTTGAATCACATGCAGAGACATCAATCTAGCCTGAGCCGATAGAAGCCCAAGTTCTGAAAAGAACCTTCTGAGGTGATTATACACAGCCCCTGGCGTCTTTGGAGCTCGTACTCGCAATTGGAAGAATCGAATAACAAACAAGCAAACAAAGCAAATGTGTATGAATAAAATTTGTGGGCCAGCCAGATAGCTCAGCGGACTAAAGTGCCTGCTTGGGCAGAGCACAGTGCCAGGGTTCGATCCCTGGCATGCTGTGCCAGCCCTGCCCTCTGGGTGCACTGAGATGGCGATTAAGACTGGGCATGGTGGCGTGCCTGTAATCCAGTGTGGGGAGGCTGAACAGGAAAATCACTGAGTCCGATCTACATAGTGAGACCCTGTAGACCCTGCAGACCCTGTACTAAATACAAAAAAAGAATAAATTTTTTTGATGCCACAGAGAACAGAGGCAAAGGCCAGGGTGTATAGGAGTGGGGTGGAGCAGTCAGTCAGAGCCTCTCTGAGGAGGTGGCCTTTAGGCTGAGAATGGAAGACATGAAGCAGAGAGAGGAATCCACTCTGAGAAGAAAAGCGCGTGCAACCCAGAACCTAAGGCAGGGGCCACCCAGCCTCCCTGGAGGCTGGAGAAGAAGAAACTGGTGGGCCAGCACCCCCAGGTGAGGCCCAGGGATTGGGCTGCAGATGGATGGACAGCAAACAGGCTCATTCAAAGCAAGGCAGGAAGCCACGGGGCAGTAAACAGGCACCAGTGTGGTTCTGCTGTCACTTTGAGGAGATCCCTCCATCAATTTCCTGGCTTTTGCACTGTCCTCTAGGTACTTAAGATGTTAGCACTGGGCGGAGCTCAGTGAGCGCCTCCTGGGATTCTAGGTGCTGCTTTTGTAGCACCCTACAAAGGGGAAAGCTAAGAATAGATCAATTCCTCAGTTACTTCTGTTGTAATTTGTTAAATTCCTACCATGTGCCAAACTCTGCTCTTGGAAGTGAGAGATATAGACTTCAAATCAATTAGATTAGAAGAAGACAAACATTATCTGCATGCTTATTGGGCAAATAGGGCATATGAAAGTCAAGAACCGCAGAGATAGCTCAGCTGTCTAAGCGCCTGCCTAAGCAAGCGCAAGGACCCGGGTTCAGTCCTCAGCACCACATGCCACAGCAGCCCTGCCCTGGGTGTGCTGAGTGGCCTCCAAGACCAGGCGTGGTGGTACATGCCTGTAATCCCTGCCCTGGGGTGGGGCTGAAACAGGAGGATCACTATGAGTCCAAGCTGCATAGTGAGACCCTGTATTAAATACATAAATGAAAAGAAAAAAGGTAGAGTGGAACCATATTAAATGTCAAAAAGGACATAATGCAGGATGGCATGAAGGAGAGCCAGAGTTGGAGGAGGACTGGCAGAACGTGGAAAGCCAGAAGCCCAGATAAGAGCTCCAGGCCTGAGCCAGGGGAGGTCTGAGATCGCAGCTACCACTCGGCTGGTCACGGGTCTTGACTCTGGGGTGCAGACGTAGAAGATACCTGGAGAGGAATGCATCCTCCTTCCAGTCAAACACCTTGAGCCTTCCAAAGTCGCAGCTACCTTGATTTTGCTTAACTTGACAGTAAAAGGTAGATGCCTCTGTCTCCTTTGGCAACTGAGCAGCTCAGCTTGATTCCCCCCCCAGGAAAGCATGAACCGAGAGTTCACATACAAGCTAAGTGCTGGGGAAGTACTGAAGGAGCGAGGGAGGCTGCGGAGCCACCCACTGTGGAGAAGGTGCTGCCGTGGCCAGTGGGGCAGGCTCCATGAGAGCACACGAAACGCAGGACAGAGCCCAGCTCGGAGCCCAACCCGGGGCAAAGGGGCAGCAGCATTACTGCCACCCCGTCAGTCACCAGTGGATTGCTGCTTTGGAAGGGTGACCACGCCCCAGCACTGGCGAACCTCCCAGTGTGTGAGCCAGACCAAGGGAAAGAGCTGCAGGCAGCACCCGGAGCTCCAGGAGGATGAGGTCAGTGTTCACGCTGAGAGGATTCGGAGGGACTCAGACGGCATCCGCCACACTGAGGGTCAGCAGTGTTAGGCAGGCAGGCCGGCCTACTTGAGGCCAGGAAAAAGATTTGAATGTTAAGGCCTTTTTCTTTGGACCATAAGACATATTGTCTCCACTCATTCCCCAGCCCACCCTATGTATGCATATAACTTTAAGCCAACATGTCATATGATCTTTACCTAGATATGCAAAGGCACAATTTTAGCAATATCTATAACATAACAA